GTGCGCAGTAGGCGCAGCGCGGCCTTTAGGCAATTTTTGGCTCAAGATCGGGTTCAGAGAACCCCCGGGGACCTTCTGGAAAGTCGCCCGGCTGTACTCCAGCTGAAGGTTTAAACTTTAACCGGCCGTGAGGGTTGCACCGCCTTGGGGTGTATAAGGGCACAGCCCCTTCCCCAGATTCCGCTCTACAGGTCAGGTGACCTGTTAGTTTAGAGTTTACAGCTCCTCCGCTTCGGCAGTCCGGCGCGGATTTTAGTTTTAGCCGATATCGTATCATAGGGTGAGGATTCCTGGCGGAGGTAAGTATATTTCTTGATTCTATTTGTCTTGTTCAACTTCCCTCCTCAGTATAGCTCCTTCTTCGATCTCGCCGCCATACCGTGCTCTCTTCAACTAACTCGGTATGTGCCTCTCCCCTTCTCTCCCATGTTTAAATGCTTGGTTGTGGCTGATTGTTGGAAGTGTGTGTTGTTCTATTCCACAGGTCACCTGCAGCCATTTGGCGGCAGCCGCCAAAGCACTGCCCTGGTTTGATCTTGCCGGGAGAACGGTTGATCCTCTCTTTCGTATCCTCTTTGCCAATGTCGCCTCCTCTGTCCGTGTTCGATGGGGGTCCAGACTCGACCCTTTCCGGGAGCTGCTCAAGATAAAAGACAAGGCCCGCCTGCCATTTCTTTCTCCATCCTCATCAACTCCCATCCCCAGTTCCATGGCTCGCTCCATCTTTGACCGACCTCCTACTCCATACCCCACTCAGGCTCATCCCCAACCGTTTGCTACGGTGAGTCGTCTTCTTCATCTCGTGACGTTCCTAACATCCTGAGCGGGTAGTGAACTAATCAATCGGTTTGGTGTTTGTTTTCTTTTTAGGCCAGGGTACACCATCCCATGGCGATGATTGTAGATCACCCTGCACCTGTGACTACTACCACTGGTAGTTTGCCTCTAGCTGCTAGGATCTCGCCTGCGGGTACTACCCCCGTCATCAATGGGCCTCCATTCCAACTGGCAGGAAGGGGTCCTCCCCCAGCTTACAGTGGCCCCGGTCTTGCGCGACCTGCTCCTGGCTATCGTCGGTACAATATCAGTTTCAACCGCGGCGGTTTTCGAGGGGGATTCAACCCAGGATCCAATTTCAGACCCAGGGGTTCGATCTCTCCCTTCCATCATTTCAATCAACGACGACAGGCGCCTAGCCGCCCCCGCACTCCGGTAAGCCGTTCTTTGTCAAAAGCTTTTGTCCTTTTCTTCTGCTTACTAACGCGGCTAGGGTAGGTTTTCTTTGTTAATCGGGCTTCAATCGGTGCTCCCGACGTCCCAGCAACTGCACCCCCCAGTCCTACCACGCCAACCAGCAGCGTGGAGGAACTTAATCTGGCTCGCTCCAGCTCCTCCGCTCCCAACAGTAGTGTTGCTTCGGCCGAGGACTTCGTCCTTCCTCGGCCTCGCGTTCCATCCCCTACTCCTGCTGGGATGTACGACCCTGCCGACTATCACCTCCTCTTGCGTCACCAGGTGGAGGCTCTGCTCGATCGACGCGCCGACCCCGCCCGTTTTGATAGATATGCATTTACACCCCAGCATATTGATGACCTCTACGAGTCCATCACTACTGCGATGGTCAACCATTTCACAACTTACCCTGCTGCTAATGCAGCAGAGCGCGAGAGCCGGGTTCGTTTATTTCGATTTGCGAGTCGTCGCTACCGCACCATGACTCGTAGAGTTTAGGCTAACCGTAAGTTTTTGTTTTTGGTTCTTAGAACCGTTTGTGGATTCAGTTTTTTCTGATCCCCATTCTTGAAACCCAGACTTAGCCCCCGCCTCGAAAACCAGCTTTGATGGACGACTAAATTCCAACTCTCACAGGGGTAAAAAAATTGCTAAAACCAAAAAAATCGGTAGAAAATTTTCTAAAACTAAAAAAAATTTATAAAAGTTTCCCAAAATTAAAAAAATTTTTGTTTTCCTTACTTAGTTATCTCAGAATCTCTTTCAGCTTGCTCTTCTAGTAAGCCAACCCATACCCCTCCCCCAACTTAAAAAAGGTTGTCCCCAACCTTAGTGAGTGAGTGAGAGACACAGACGAGATATATGAGATAACTAGGCTCAAAAAAAAAAAAAAAATATTCTGAGAAATCCTTTTTTAAGGATGTTTTGGTGAAACTAAAAAAAGGCCTCCAAATTCATAGCTTTTTTTTTTTTTTT